GCACTGGTCACCGTATCCATTGTAAGCGTAACACACCCGCTTTAAGGACACTGACTGCTATTCAATCTATAACAGTGAAAAAAGTTTTTTGTTTTTAAATCAAAGCTATTGTGTCACCAGATCTAAGTGGTGGCACTGGTCTCCATATCCACTGTTAGCGTAACACACCCGCTTTACACAAACTGCTGAGGTGTGACAGAACTCTGGTGGAGTGCTATAGACCTCACAATTGAAATTCCAATTTAGTTTTGATATAACTCAGAACAAGGAGTGAATGTTATATAATGTAAAACCATGTTAAAACTAACTAACCTATCTAGCTCTCTCACAGTAGTCACTTACCAGACCATTAGTAAATAGGCTGACAATTCTCTATCTTATTTCCTCTTAGTCATTCTACAGCACCATCAGCAAGTATCATATGCTGCAATGACTCTACATCCAATGACCTGGGATCCTTTGCATCTATTACTTGGTCAGTACTATAGATGAATTAAAATCCTGGTTTTGTAGGAGTGTCTCTGTTCTACTCAGCCAGGACACATATATAAACACATTTATATTGGGGATGTTCTGGGCCTATTTTACTGTGCAAAAAATTTTACTTTCTGAAGTTCCAGCACTCTGTAATCACGTGTTGGTACTTTAATGCTTGTGTAGCAGTGACCCATAGCCGGGAAAGCAGTGCACTCTGGCAGCAGAGGTGACTGGCAGACCAACGAAGTGCAGGGCTAGTGGCACTCTGACTGAGCACTATCCCTACAGAAAGCTTGCCATCTGCCTTTCCCTCAACTAAAGTCCAAGGCACAGAGCCATCTTTTTTTATCATGTGTATGGATGATTGTGCCTGTGTTGGTCTGGATGTGCCTGTGTGTGCTTGTCTGTGTCTGTGTGTTCTTGTCTATGCCTTTGTGTACCTTTCTGTGTATATCTGTCTGTGCTGTGTGTACCTGTTTGCCAGTGTCTGTGTGTGTATGTCAGCCCATAAAATAGATCTGAGGCTGCTAGAAAAAATATTGGAGAACTAATTAGATAGGTGATTTTTTTAGTAAGTCAAAACATGATTTGCAGTCAATCATATGGCCATGTTTAGAAATCCACTAGACTATTGAACATTGGGAAAATGAGATGACATGCATAGTGTTCTTTTTTTCATTCAATCTCCATTTAATTTCATGTCCCTCCAATAACTTCATGTAACTGTAATAATTTCATCTCCCTCTTCACTACATGCCTCTTCTCCATTATCCCATGTATTTCTATTATACCATATCTCTGATCTGACTCATTATACCTATAATTCCCATTGGCTCCTCTTTCCATGTCACTTCTTCATCATTATATTGTCAAGGACCCACAGACACAAACTATGGAGCTCTTTCCCTATACATAAAGACGTATTATCGGGCCTTAGGGTGGCCGGACTTAATGTAGATGGGTTGTGGTGGAACCAGCCTCACCACTGGGCATTGGAGAAGACTGATTGCCAGCCTCCTGCCATGTGACTATGGCCCCTGGAATGTATTGCCTTCTCTCCTGTACTGCTGAGGATTGCTACCAACTAGGTGGATTTGGCTATGGAACTTGTGTAGTGCACTCTGTTGGTAGCAACAGTAATATGCACTACCTGAATAGCAAGACTGGTAATTTGCATATTCGGGTAGATTTGCATATCGCTAACTCTGCATGCAGGAGAGACATTTTGTGTTACCCATTTATAAACATGTAATTATATTATAATGCTATTATCTGACTGTTTGTAATTTTATTGAGTTTTCACAGCAATGTTAATGTAATGACCATATGGGCTAGTCCCAAGTAAAATAAAGTTTTAGTTAGTTCTATTTCACCCTCAATTTGGAGTGCCATCTCTTATTGGGGGGAATCTGCTACAAGGGATTGCTATGCTGGTCATACTCCTTTGCTAAATCACTACTAAGCTCTTGTAAGAGCTTGTTTGCTGAAGGAGTCTACTGTGGTTATGGTGTCTGCTGCAGTTCTTGGAGTCCTCAGGAAGCGCTAGGAGCATCCTTCAATGGAGGTACCCAGTCGGGGTGCAAGGTGATCTGTTACATTGGTGGCAGTGGTGGGATGGCTTCCTAGCCTTGGGAAAACCAGCACTACTTCAGAGATGGAAGGCCGTGCAGTATCTCACTTTGATACCAGGCTCCAGCAGCGACTACAGGATGTGACGCGCAGTATGGAGTATCCTATCCCATAGGAAAGAGAGACAGAGTGGAGGGTGGTGCTTCGTACCGATCTCTGGAAGGAGGACATCGACGAAATTTGACCCTTCTGGTGCGAGGAAATCCTGACCACTAACCAGCGCCAAGCAGAACAACTAGAGCTGCGGATGCCATTACTGGGAAACCAGCCCTCAGAGGAATGGGTAAGCGAACTGGAGACGCTAGTTGAGACTCAGGTATGGCTGGATGATTCCTATCGGGCCCCGCGGCGGTGGCATGCTTACCACCTCTACCCATGGCTGATCGAGTACAAGTGTATTGAGGGGGAAGACTACGACGGCCCTGGTTTGATATGGGATACTATTGAAACTAGTCTCTGGTTCGGAGACACCGACATTGCTCGCTTCTGGTCCATCCGAGTTGAGCGGGCAGACAACTGGGACCTTACGGAGATCGATGCCATTCAGTCAGATCTATCTTTTCTTGCCAACCGGGAGTGGGAACTAGAACAGGATTATGTTTGCCTATTCCAACGTATAACGCTGCCTGTCTCTGACATGATGGGGCTTATTGACTGTATACCACTGGAAGCATTGAGTTTAGTTCCTCCTCCCTAGCAACCAAGCCTGTTATCAAGGGACCTTGGTACTGTACCACATACGTCCCAACCAGCCCCAGAGATGGAAGACCTTATTGACTTGTCCTGGGAAGACACCCAGCTGACAGGTGGAGATGGGACCGAGGTCTCTCTACCAGCCCTACAGGGATGCTGGGCAGTCGGCCCAGATCCCCAGCGGCAGTATGTATCCCAGGAAGCTGAAGGTGCAGTCCTTCCCCCTCCAACAGCAGAGAGAGTGTCAGGGAGAGGAGCTTGTTATCTCCTCTCCCCAACGGCTGAAAGTATGTATGGGAGAGGAGCTTGTTACCCCCTCTCCCCAGTGACTGAAAGTATGTATGGGAGAGGAGCTTGTTACCCCCTCTCCTCAGCGGCTGACAGTATGTATGGGAGAGGAGCTTGTTACTCCTTCTCCCCAGTGGCAGCTTAGCCCATCAAGGGGAGACAGTAAGCTCCACAACAGTGCAGATGGGACTATGGTCTCTGCACATGCACCACCGGGGGTAGGGACAGTCGGTCCTGTCCCCCAGCAGCAGGGCTGTTTAGCCAAAGGGGAAACAGTCGGTCTCCCCCTCCAGCAGCAAGGCTTTGTGTCCAAAGGGGAGATGGTCAGTCTCCCCCTCCAGCAGCAGGACAATGTAGCCAAAGGGGAGACAGTCGGTCTCCCCCTCCAGCAGCAGCCCCAGATCCCGAGAGAGGAGCCTACCAACTCTTCCTTTCAGCATGGCTCCAACCAGGCTACTCCCGTGGTAGCGCTGGCACCAGGGCAGAGTACCGCGGGTCTCTGCCCACTCAGCAACACACCAAGGCAGCCTATCAGTACCCCACACAGCCGTGGTAAGGCACCTGGACATGGACGAGCTAATCTTTTACCCAGGTGTAGTAACCATGCATTGTGGGTGGGCTGTATTACTGTTTGTGCTTCATGGGTGGGTTGCTGGACTAACCAGGGCACCGACCGGTAGGAGGTCAGATACAGACCTGTTTGGAAAAGGGGAGAAATGTGGCGGAACCAGTCTCGCCACTGGGCATTGGATAAGACTGATTGCCAGCCTCCTGCCATGTGACTATGGCCCCTGGGATGTATTGCCTGCTCTCCTGTACTGCTGAAGATTGCTACCAACTAGATTGCTACCAACTATGACGTCATATTCCGGCTCCCAGCTACAGTAGACAGCCCGCGTGGCGAGAGGGAGCAGAGAGCAGACAGCTCCTTCGCCACGGCTGAGATAGAGAGAGGCGCCCGTCCCACTGGACCCCAGGGAAAAGTCCACGCCAGCACTCCAGGTAGGGAGGCTGGGTGGACATTTTATTATTAAAATATAATAATTTGTATGTGTGTGTGTCTGTGAATGTGTGAGTGTATGTGTGTATGTGTGTGTGTCTTTGAATGTGTGTGTGTGTGTGTGAGTGTGTGTCTGTGAATGTGTGTGTGTCTGTGAGTGTATGTGTGTGTGTGTGTGTGTCTGTGTGTGAGTGTGTGTGTGTATGTGTGTGTGAATGTGTGTGTGTCTGTGAGTGTATGTGTGTGAGTGTGTGTCTGTGAATGTGTGTGTGTCTGTGAGTGTATGTGTGTGAATGTGTGTGTGTCTGTGAGTGTGTGTGTGTGTCTGAATGTGTCTGTGAGTGTGTGTATGTGTACGCCGCATATATATATATATAAATAAATATATATATATATATATATATATATGCACACACACACGTGTATATTATTTTTTTTAGATCTCTCACGACAGTTAACTCTAGCCCCGCAGGCTAGAGTTCACTCTCCACTGGACCACCAGGGATGGCACATGGCAGCAAGGATTTACTAATCTGCCCCCACCTCCACAATCCCTCCAAACATACAGCACCTACACACATACAGCTCACACACACACAGTACACTAACCGTACCCTCATAAACACACACAGCACCTTTAAAAAAAACACAACACCCTCACACACAGCACACTAACAGCACCCTCACAAACACACACACACACACACAAACAGCACCCTCACAAACAAACAGCACCCTCACAAATACACGACACTCACACAAATAGCACCCTCACAGGACAAACACACACACACAAACACCCTCACACACAAACAGCACAGTCACAAACACACACACACACACACACACACACAAACACCCTCACATCACACTAACAGCACCCTCACACACATCACACTAACAGCACACACAGCAGTGTATGTGTGTGTGTGTGTATATATATATATATATATATATACACACACACACACACACACACACACACACATGCGGCGTGTGTTTGTGCTTTAGGGTGCACACCCTAATGCAATAGGCTGTGCACGCCTATGCATGTATTATTATCATCTTCATTTTGGCATATTTACTACTGCAAACAGGAATGAAGTGTCAATGTTTACAGCAATAATTCAAAGGTTACACCAGTTTTTTTCCCAGCATAGTGCAAAATCTGCATTTATGTAGCGAAAACAACGTGCTGACTAAGCTGAGTTAGGTTAATAAGTCAGTTTGTGAACCGTGATAGCAGTAAATATAACAGATCCTTTTATTGACTTCCCAGTGTAACTTATTTTAGTAGCCATAGTGGTTCCCGTGCTATCTTATAAATTGAGCAGTTAATGTAAAAAAAAAGTTAATGTGAGTGGTTTTCTTACTTAAAGGCTCGCTCTTAAAATAAAAAAATAAAACAACAATTTTAATGGTTTTTTTTGTTTGTTTTTTACCTTTTACGAAAATGGAAAGTACATTACCTTACACCACATAAAACATTGTTTAGTACAATTATGCAAAATGCTGATGAAAGATTGCATCAAAGCGTTGGTAAGAAATGCAGACAATAAGTAGGAAAAATCAGTACACTAACAGGAAAAAGCAGAAGCACTTTACTTAAAATTCCATAATAGATCTATGTAGCTGTCAAATTCATGTGATATATAACATGTCAGCCAGTCTACTAGTCTGAAATGGGTTAAACCCCCAAAGGGATTAACCTTTCAATTAAACATAAAGCACTCTGCTGCAACAGTGAAAGGGTTAATCTAAGTGAGGTGGCATTTGAGGTATTGGAGGAAAGATTCTTTGCAGTAGAACGATAAAGAGGGTGAAGAGCCGAATTGATTTGCTGAAAAAAAAAATAATTGTGTCAAACAATTCAGGATTCATCTGTGTTGCAATTTGGTCCAGATGAATTTCATCTATGCAATAATTTTGGCAAAAAACAATTCAGATCAACCAAAATGGCATGAAAACGGTCTAATCAATTGACTGAAAAATAAACATGCATATGTATATTTCCCTCCATTTAGTTTATAGATCAAATGAAAAGAAGTAAACGATACAGGGGGAAAAAAGAGGAGTAAAAATGGATTGTTGAAAAGATAAATCTATATTTATTAAATATATACTATGTGATTAAACATTGGATCAGCCAGAACATTAAAACCACTGACAGGTGAAGTGAATAACATTGATTATATGGTTACAATGGCAGCTGCCAAGGGTAGGATATATAGTGATTAGTTAGTTCTTGAATAGTCCGTTTAAAAAAAAAAAAAAAAAGTAATTTAATTCTTTATTTTTTACCTCAATTCATAAACACAGTAGTTCAACAACATATGTGGGTATATTCAATATATTATATATAGAGCATGAGAGCGGCAGAAATACAGGGTAGCGATTGGCCAGTAAAGGAGTTTAAGCATGCGTGGGATAGGCATAAGGCTATCCTAACTATAAGATAAGGCTAGGGACTAATGAAAGTATTTAGAAAATTGGGATGACTAGATAGGCCTAATGGTTCTTATCTGCCGTCACATTCTATGTTTCTATGTTTCTATAAGTTATGATTTGAAGAATTTTTTTATACGAATGAGTGCACATATTTTATAATGCGAAGAGCAGCCAGACGTAGCCTCCTATGTAATTGCATTACTGTAATCAAATGTGCTCTGTGTGAGCTGTGATGTGACGTTGACTGTTGACTATGAAGACAGATGATGTCTGATGTCTGAAATTATAATACAATAAATGTTTGCGAATACCTGTTATTTGTACAGTTCTTGAATTTTATGTGTTGGAAGCAGGAAAAATGGGCAAGCAAAAAGATTGGAGTGACTGAGTGACTTGGACAAGGGTCAGATAGTGATGGTCTGATAACTGGTTCAGAGCATCTCCAAAACAGCAAGTATTGTGGGGTGTTCCTGGTATGTAGTGGTTAGTACCTATTAAAGTGGTGCAAGGAAGGACAACCAGTAAACCGGTGTCAGATTCATTGGGCCGCCAAGGCTCATTTATGCACTTGGGAGAGAAGGCTAGCCTGTCTGGTACGATTATACAGAAGAGCTACTGTAGCTGGAATTGCTCAAAAAAAAACTTAATGCTGGCCATGATAGAAAGTTGTCAGAACAGACAGTGCATCATTGTTTATATTATGCTTTGAGCATTGTTCTGCTGGGAAACCTGAGGTCCTGTCATTCACATATCTAGAGATTGTTGCACACCATGTGCACTCTTTCATGGCAGCGGTGTTCCCTGAGGACAGTGGCCTTCTTAAGAAGAAAAATGCACCGAAAAAATGTGCAGAAATGGTTTATGGAATATGACAAAGAGTTTAAGGTGTTGCCTTGGCCACCAAATTCCACAGATCTCAATCTGATTAAGCATTTGTAGGATGTGCTGGAACCACAAATCCAATCCTTGGAAGCCCCACCTCACAACGTGTCTTGATTCCAGATACCAGAGGACACGTTCAGAGGTCTTGTGGAGTCAATGCCTGAAAGCATCATGGTTGTTTTGACACGATATTAGGCAGATGGTTTTAATGTTGTGGTTGATAAGTGTAGATTTTTTTTACTACTCATTTTCCCTCAATTGGATCTCCTCACTTGATCTCTTCTCATTCATCATCAATCATCTTTTCTCCCATCAATCATCACGAAACAAACAAAACTGTTGTTCCATTTTGTTTTCTTCTTAATTTGTCCACATTGTAAAGTATCACAGATTCCCCCAAATTCGGATGAATTGAAATTTGAAATGGAATGCACAAGTCTAGTTTCCAACCTGTTCTTTGCAGTGATTTTGCTTTGGTCAAAAAACATTTACTAATTAGCATTACAGCAAAATTGTGCAAGTTAGTAAATTATATTTTTGGTATTATGTTTCTACAAAATCAATTAGATAGTGTCTGGCTCTAGTAAATTGTCATATATACAAGCACATTTTCATTTTATTACCTTTACACATACACACATTTGCAAATATTTCATGGTACAGTGTGGTAATATTGATGGTTAAAGCATTAATATTGGAATGTCTGTAAATATGTTTATCATATATAACCACTGCATATGAACTTAAATTAAAGGAACACTCACTGTAATTGTTATGGTGCCAGGAATAACCTGAACACACCCCTATTGTAAATAGTCAGCCAATTTTAAATGGCTTGACTCTTTACCTATAGGTCTCACTGGATGCTGCTCTGCACCTTTACTACTTTCTATGGAGAACCAGAAAATCCTAAGCAGGAAATTCAATTTATTCTCCTGAGCAAGGCACTGTTATGTAGGGCTAGCTCATTAGCTGAGAGTGTCCTTTGATTGCCTTCAGACAATGACCTAAGCCCTTAATGCACAGCTTAATGACCAGCTCTCTAAAGGAGGTAGTTGAGGAGGACATTGGCATCTAGAAGACTCCAGGTAAGAAAATAAAATCATTCTAAGCTGGTTTAACTACTCACAATAGGAGAACAGCTGTGCACTTTTGACTGTATAACCACTGCAGTGATCTGAACTGTTTATTTTACTTTTAGTGTTCCTTTAAGGGTGAGAGATGTCCCAAAGCAATTGCTTACTGGTTTTTGCATTACTGGCCTCTTTTTTTGGAATTGTTTAAAAAAAAAGACTCACCCACAGTATTGTCTTCAGTGCCAAAATCATTAAAAATTAATGATGTAATGTAATAGAGTTCTAATAAAAATTATTCAACCTCGATTGAAAATCAGGTTTATTGTAAAAATTTGCAGACGGTCAGCTGTTTGAAATTAACAAATCAAACAAAAGCAGTTGAAGTAGCTCAATACAACAAATGCTTCAAGTGGTTTCCCAAATTCAACTGAAAATGCAACTTATAGTGACTTCTCCATTCTCAAAATTATTCAACCCCCTGAAAAGAAACCCTCACAACAGAAGAAATATGAAAATAATATCAAGGGCTTCATTAGTTGCACCAAGTGTGCTTGAGCTGTAACGCTTGAGCTGGAACATTTGAAATATCTGAAGTGGCTAGGGGTTTGTTGAGTTTCACATTTGACTGCATGTTAGAAATATGTCAAAAGAAGGATTTACAAAATTAAGAGAAGAGATCATCGCCCTTCACCTGCAGCAAGACTTGGTGGCAATAGGCATTGAGATTTCAATGAGCACAGAAAGACGTGTTCTAAAGAAAAGTCGGCTCCAATATTTTCAAAATCATATAATTAAACCACAGACGTTTTGGTATTCTGTTCTTTGGAGCAATGAAACTAAACTGGAATTTTTCTGCTCAATGGATCAGCGGTATGTCTGGAGGTAGAAGAATTAAGCATACTCTGAAAAGAACACTCTGCAGTTAAGCATGGTAGTTGCATGGTGATGCCCCGGGGCTGCTTTGCATTCTCTGGCACTGGAAACTTGCAGCACGTGGAAGGCAAGACGGATTCATTGAAGTATCAGGAAATCCTAGGTGAAAACATCATGCCATCTGTGAGGAAGCTGAAGCTTGGGCGTCATTGGACCTTCTAACAAGACAATAATCCTTAGCATACCTAAAATTCCACCAAGGCTTAGAAAATCTCTGGTGGGAATTGAAGAAGGTGGTTGCAGCACGCAAACCAAAGTATATCACTGAACTAATGAGCAATGGGTTATATTCCTCAGGAATGATGCCAGAAGCTTGTGCCTGGCTATGCATCAGCAGGTTATAACAGCAAAATGATACTTTACTAAGTACTAAAGATGCTTGCCATGAAAGGGTTGAATAATTTTGAGATTGGAGAAGTTATTATAAGTTGCATCTTCAGTTGAATTTGGGGAAAACACTTGAAAAAATTTGTCGTGTTGAGCTATTTCAATTGATTTTGTTTGATTAGTTCATTGCATTTATTAAACCTAATTTTTAAATGGGGGTTAAATAATTAGGATTGCAACTATAGATCCACTTTAAAACAAACTCACAAATGTATCTTCTGCTTCATGTCTAAAATGTTAGCATTATTGAACCTTTAGTGC